AGACCACACACCTGTGACCTGACCCCTCGCCCCCCTCCAGGGCGGGGTCCCGAGTTGCTTCCTCAGCATCCTTGTCACTGTGCCAAGTGGGAGCAGCACCATGTCACCTCTCTTCCCAGGAATGATCACCTTCTCTCAAGATTACGTGGCAAATGAACTCACTCAGAACTTCTTCACCATCACCCAGAAGATTCAGAGGAAAGTCACGGGCTCTCGGAACTCAGCTGAGCTCTCAGAGATGTTTCCTGTCCTGCCCGGCTCTCACTTGGTGCTTAATAACCCTGCCCTGGAGTTCGTCAAGTATGTGTGCAAGGTGAGGGCCCGCTCCTGCCTGTGTACAGTGAGGGCAGGAGTGAGAAACGCATTTCTCCCACAACACTCTGCCCCCCGTTCTGAACAGCCCGTGTGAGCTATTTGCAGCTCCTGGAGCCTGTGCTCCAATGAGGTGCGGCCGGTCAGTGAGGGGGGTGAGTTCAGGGAGCACAGGTGCTGTGAGCTGGGCTCAGAGAAGTGGGGAAGGTGAGGGGCCTCTGATGGGGCCTGGGGCTAAGACCACAGTGACCAGGAGGGTCCAGCCACATGTGGATCCCAGGAAGGAACGATGTCTGGGCCGAATGGGTGAAGGCCCTGGGGTGGGGTGATCTGGGGGTACTGGTGAAACAGCAGGTGCTCCAGGCCCTGTGGGGCTAGAGGGCCAGGCGAACCAGGGACCACACGGAGCTCCCGAAACACCCAGGCTTCAGAGGAGAGCTTGCGTGGATGCCAAATGCCGTTCTGGGAAAGGAGACGGAATCAAAGGTGGAATACTGTTACCAGACCAGGACAAGCAGGCGCCTCGCTGCTCATGAAGTCACCTCCCGGCCACTGCATCTCACGGTGACGGCCTCGCCAGGATCAAGTGGCAGCAGAGCTTTAGGGGAGGGAGAGCCCTCCTTACAGACAGGAGGGTTAGCTGGCTCCCCCTCGGCTCTGCAGGCCCCTGGGTGGGCCGGGCAGTCCCTCACCCTGAGGGTGGACATTAGCCACTTGGCACGTGAGATTGTCAGGCTCCAGGAGACTTAGGACTGCCTGTCACTCAGGGAAAAGGAGCCAGTGAGGCTGACAGGCAGAGCCCGAGTCCCGAGCTGAGGCCGTGAGGGAACCACTGCGGCCGAGGAGGCAGCTCTGACGGGACAGGAAGTGTGAGGTGGTGCTCGGCCACGCGGTCGCAGTCCAGACAGCAGCGGGAGGCCCGGGAGCTCCCCTCACCGCGCCCCGGTCTCTGCAGGTCCTGTCGTTGGACACAAACATCACAAACCAGGTGAACAAGCTCAACCGGGACCTGCTCCGCCTGGTGGACGTTGGTGAGTTCTCGGAGGAGGCCCAGTTCCGAGACCCCTGCCGCTCCTTTGTGCTCCCAGAGGTCATCTGCCACAGCTGTAACTTCTGCCGGGACCTGGACCTGTGCAAAGACCCGTCCTTCTCTCAGGTGGAGCACCCACTCTTGTGTGACCTGTCTCTCCCTTGGTGACGTCCACTAGCTGTGGCCTGACTAGGACCTGGCAGCTTTCTTAAGGCCCTCGGCTGCCATGTGCTAGAACATCATCCAGTGAAGGTGTGAGGACGGTGTGGTGATGGGAAGTGCCCGGGGCTGAGTGAGCTGCCGCAGGCGGTTATGCGCCTCTCACCTCTCACGAGGGCTCTGCCCCCGTCTCCTCAAAGCTGGTCCCCTTGGCCTGGCGGAGGGGCACTGCCAGGGAGGTGGGCAAAGGGTGACCTGCTCCCTCTCTGCCCAGGACGGGGCTGTGCTGCCCCAGTGGTTCTGCTCCAACTGCCAGGCCGCCTACGACTCCTCGGCGATCGAAATGGCCCTGGTGGAAGCCCTGCAGAAGAAGCTGATGGCCTTCACCCTGCAGGACCTGGTGAGCAGCGGCCTCAGGTCATAACCTGGTCCTTCGAGATGCCCACCTGTTGGGTCAGGCCTCATCCACAGCCCAAGTGATTCAGTCTTATAGCTCCTATTGGGCACCTAACGCGGCCAAGTGCTGGGCTCCTGGGCCTTCCCTTCTAGTGGAGGGAGATAGATGGCAAACAAGATAAAGGGTGTAAGTGGGATGAGGGTCCAGAACCAGCGGTGTGTGTGTGTGTGTGTGTGTGTGAGAGAGAGAGAGTGTGAGTGAGACGTGTTCAGCACTGGGAGGCATGGGTTCTGGGCAGGAATAGCGGCACTTGGTGTGGCCGGTGGGTGGGCCCACAGCGAGGGCGGGGAAGCAGCTGGACGTTAGGTGAGGCCGCTATGTGGTCTGGCTTTTATCCACAGTTGAGGTGCAGGCTGGGGGCTGGCGCGGGCATGGAGCTCTTGACTGGGCTCTTCCTCATTTCAGGTCTGCCTGAAGTGCCGAGGCGTGAAGGAGACCAACATGTCCGTGTACTGCAGCTGTGCGGGCGGCTTCACCCTCACCATCCACACCAAGGTCTGGACAGCTGCCCCTGGCCATTGCCCATCTGGCCCTCACCCACACCTCTCTCTCCCTACGCTCCGGACCTTGGCCCGCATCCCTGCACCTCCTCTGGGACTGGGTCTCATGGTGACTGGTTCTTCTGCAGGTCTTCATGGAGCAGATCAGAATCTTCCGGAACATTGCCCAGCACTATGGCATGTCGTACCTCATGGAGACCCTGGAGTGGCTGCTGCAGAAGAACCCCCAGCTGGGCCATTAGCAAGGCGGGCCTGTCCCCTCTGCCCCAGCTTCCCAGCTGGAGACCATCTCCACGACTCAGCACCAAAGAAAATGACCTTCAGGGTGCTTTCAGGGAGGGGTCACTTGGCCCAAACCAGCCATCCAGCCAGAGCAGGAAGTGGCCCACTTGGGTCCCAGTCCCAGCCTTGGTCAGGGCAGCCTGATGGGTCGTTCTCGTGCACAAACACGTGTGGCCTCTGCTGCTGCTGCTGCTGCTGCAGGGCCTGGCCCTCCTGCCCCACCTCTGCATCCCCTTTGCCCGCAGGGCCTTCTGTTTGAGCCAAACCTGGGGGAGGGGACCCTAGGGCAAACCCAGGGCAAGGGACACCGGGGTGGGAGACTGCAGCTCTGCTCCCAGGCACTATGACCTCAGAGACGCCCTCCACGGCTTCACCCGTGGGTGTGGCCAGTTCCAGGAATCGGGCCCTGAGCCCTTGGGGACCTGGGCATCTTCAGACAGCAGGTTCCGGGGCGGCTGGCATCCCTGCACTTGGGCTTGGATTTCTCTGTGGAGACTTCCTGGTCGGGGGGGGAGGGGTCTGCGTCAGGCAGTCCCCTCATCTGGGTCGGGGGTTCTCAGATGGAGCTTGACCACACCACCTGCCCTCAGAGCCTACCTGTGCCCCGAGGAGGCCTGGCACAGGGGGTCACCCATTGATCATGGATTGTACAGCATCTGTTACCTCCTGCACTTCAGAAAAACAATTTTTCACCCACAAGATTTTAGGTTCTTTCCTTCATGGGAAGGGGAAGAGAAAGGAAGCAGCACCTTTGTCAGGTGGAGGAGGTTCTGTTCTTGTTCCTCAGCTCAGGTCACCCTGGGACCTGGGACCCTGCAGGGCACCAGCTCAGGGTCCAGCCCTGGCCTAGAGCCTTTCCAAGTGCCAGGTTCTCCCTCTGTCTTCAGCCCCAGAACATAAGATGAGCTCTGTGCACCTTTTAAACGAAATAGGACGGGGACAGGACAAAAAACCCACCCATCCCATATAAAAAACATGCCCAGATGGTGAGGCGGCAAGTTCAGAAACTTCAAAAGGTGGGCTCATGGGAGGGCTGGGGGCTTCAGCCGGTTTAACTTCATTTGCATGCTGCTTCTCCGTCTGGGAGGAAAGGCTGACCAGCTAGCAGCTGTCTGTACGGTAGCATTGGCCCCTGATATCACCCGCCCGCCTGGGCCAGGCCCAGTGGCCAGGAGAAACCTGACGCTGGCTGGAAGGTGGATGGAGCCCATGTCAGCCCCAAATGGAGATCAAATCAGATTAGGTCTGGGTGGGGGGGCTAACAGCTTCCTGGTAATGATGCTGGAGACGTGCAGGAGGAGGTAGGGATGCCCACAGCAGCACCCTGGACACTGCAGCAAGACGGCCTGGGCACCCTGGTTTCTGAGCTCCCAGCTGTGCCCTGGAGGTCAGCTTGGTGGGAGCATTTGGGGTGCTAGGCCCTGGTCACTCTGCTTAGGAAACCTGAGCCCCTGGCCCTGGTTCTTGAGCTTGCAGCCCCGACTGGAAAAGCCAGTTTCTCCGAAACTAGAGCTGGACATCTGTGAGCCAGACCCATGGGTGTCCAGCATTTGGGTGACCTGTGCAGCCAGTGTCCCAAGCGGGGAGGAGCTGAAGGTGGCTGGGTGGGGTCAAATGGAGCGTTTTCTGGCTGCAGCCAGTGGGGCAAGCCCAATAGTCAGGTGGTAAGGGCATTCAGACCTGGGGAGGGGGCCCAGGGCTAGTATGGTCTGAACCCTCCTTCCCCTTGAGCTTGGGAGTGATGGGACCACTGGTGAGGTCTGTGCAAGGTGCTTGGCTCCTGCCTCCTCACACCTGCACACGCCACCACTGTTGCTAGAGAAACCATGTCCAGCCAAACTGGTCCATTGAATGTAATGAGCTGTGGCTTCTGAGGATGCAGGAGCCGGTTACCCACAGGCCCACACTCCCCACACTAAATGGCAGCCCGGCAGCTTTCCTTGGGTGCAACTCATCCCCTCCCTCCTGGCTGCCATCCTTTCCCTTATTTGGGGCCTGGGGTGACCCCTGCAGGAAGGTGGTGACGGCACTGACAAGGGTGGTGCTGAGACAAGACAGGGTCGTCATGCACTCAGCCTGCCTCCCACCCCCGACCCCATTGGCCCTGGTCAGATGTGGCTGGACCAGAGGGCAGCCATGAGGCTGGGCACTGCTCTGGCTGGCAAAGCCCCTGCAGCCCCTGCACAGGGACCCACTGCTGTGGACTAGTATTTGTCTTCAGGGCCTCCACACGCTTTTCCCAAAACACAGGGCAAGATGGTAATGGTCACAGGTTTATTGGATTCTGGACGTGGTTTCTTGGCTAGGAGCCCAGCAACGGGTCTAGGCAGGTGGTGTGGGTGGGAGGGATGAGGATCTGGGGGGGAGGGGGCAGCTGGGAGCAGGGTGCTGCCCCCTTTCAGCCCACTGCCCAGTTGCATGGGGCCCTTTCGTTCCCAGCTGTGAGGAGGCATGTCGGGGGTAGTGCTGGGCTCTCCGTGCTGGTCCCACCTGCTTCAGGTCAGGGCAGCCTTTGCAGTGTGAGGTGGGGGAGGGGGCTCAGAGCTGGGCTAAGCCTCGGGGGTCTGTGAGCGTGGAGTCCTGCTGGGGAGGCTCGGAGGCCCGAGGCCCGGGTCCTGCACCCCGATCGGGAGTGTCCACCATCTGCTCAGATGGGGCAGAGGTGGGACCAGGCCGTGGTGGTGGGACGGCCTGGCTCTGCCCCTCGTCCTGTGGTCTGCCTGGGTCTGTGGAGCAGGCACAGGGGGGCGGGGGGGCCTGGCCCAAAACAAGGGCCAGGGTCACAGGCCAGCTCCCTGGGGAGTGCTGTGGCGTACACACCTTGTCGAACTTCTTGTGGCTGTAGACTTTGTTTTTGTTCATGAATGTCAGCAAGATCCAGTCGCACAGGAAGGAGCCCTGGGCCAGCCAAACATGCGTGAGGGCGTGGCCTGACCCCCCACCACCACGCACAGGTGCACGCGTGCCCGGACCCCAGTGCATGCTCCTTACCACCCCGATGGAGGTCAGCGCTGTGGCCAGGTTAATGATGGTGGGAATCAGACTGAACTTGCCTGCCTGGGGAGAGGAGAATGCCTCAGACCCTCTGGGGTAGGTCGTGTGGAGGGGACACGGAGCTGGACCAGCTCAGATCTGGGCCAGCCCACCTGAACCCCAGGTAAGCAGGGCCGGCTGGTTTACCTGTCCGTGCACGATGACGTCAATGCGGATCCCGTAGGCCTTGATGAGGGTGCGGGTGGTGCTGCCATTTATCTTGTAATACTTGGCAAACCTGGGGTGGAATGACCCGGAAGCACATCAGAACCTGAAACGGCCCTGGTGGAACTGGTGGTGGGCGTGCCTGTCGCCAGAGTAGGTCAGCACCAAGACTGCCCACCACCGGCCCCTCCCTGTTTGCGCCCAAGCCACCACACAGGTGGGTGAGGATCCAGGTGTCCCAGGGCCCAAGTACCTGAAGTTGTAGCCAGAGGAGGCCGGGGTGTGCTTGGGGTCCAGTCTCCGGAAGGAGTACCTGGGGTTGCAGTTGGACGCCGGCAGGTCCAGGTCACAGTCCCAGTTGATAATGACCCCAATGACACCACCCTGCCCAGAGGTGGGCACAGAGATGGGGTCACGGCGGGCACACGGGACCCTCAGCCCTGGGGTCCCACCCTGAGGGGGTGCACACTGGGGCACCGGGGCACTTGGTGAGCACCCATTTCTGGGCATGAGGGGAGCAGGGCTGTGTGGCCAGGAGTCAGTGATTGAGCAGGAGCCATGCACGGCCAGATGGGGCGCTGATCCTCTGTGAGCCGGGGGATAGGCCAGGCGCCTCGCTCACCGCTCACCGTGCGGGCCAGCTCCGTGAAGTTCTCCCCCGCCCGCTCCACGATGAAGCCCAGCCTGAAAATGGGGCAATACAGGTGGGACGCCTCGTCGAACAGGCAGTGCTTCAGGTAGCCATCCTTGCGCATCTCGATGTTGCCCCTGAGGACGCCGGGCGCAGGTGGGTGGGCATCCTCAGGAGCAGCTTCCTCCGGGTCCCCTCGCCCACCCGAGGGCCCGCCCACCCGAGGGCTCTTACTTGGAGAACTGGAACTTGGGGTAGTGGATGCTGTTCTTGATGAGGATGGTGAAGTTGGGGGCCATCTTACCAAGAAACTGGCTGAGGAGACAGACTGCCTGTGTTCAGTCTCCCCAGGCTCTGCAGCCGCACTGCCCCCCCCATCCCACCACTGAGGAGGAAGGAGCAGGGTGGACCTGGGTCCCAGGTGGGTGGGGCGCACCTGACAGAGGCCCCATCTTCCACGGGGCACCAGCCGGACACCTCGCAGGTCTTGGAGGCCCCGTGGTAATAGGGTACACAGCGCCCCGTCCGAACACCTGCGGGCAGATGCGCTCAGGTGGAGAGGGCGCCCTGGCCCGCCCCCCACCGCCCCGGGCGCACACTGACCGTTCCCCAGCATGTCCAGCTCCCCGGCCACGCAGTCCTCGTCCGAGTCG